CTAATATAAAATAAAAACACAAGCCTCGTTATTTTATCAATATATTCACAAAATAATAACTGTCTTGTTAAGCTCAGGAAATATAGTTTTATTCTGCAATATAAATCTACGACTCATTTTAATAAGTTAATTCTATGAGGCCATGTTTTTTTTTATCAAGGTTTTTGTTTCCCCAGATGTATATGTAGGTGTGAATCAAGCTATAAATAGGTGTTAATGTGATATCATTTTAAGAGATGAAATGCCATCTAACCAACAGAAAAGAGAGAGAGAAATGGGGTTTAATGTCCACCTGACACAAACCAGGTCATTTCGGGACTAACATATGGTTCAATTTTATTGCCATAATTCTCTTGCGCATATCGAGCTTTAGCAGTGGGAGGAAACCGGAGCACCCAGAGAAAACCCACAAGGTTGGACAGGCGACCCTACTCCTTGTCACGTACAACCGGGTAATCGAAACCACGCCAGTTGACTCAATGACAGACTTTATTATACAGCATGCACGAGCTAACCATTCCGCCATCCAAGCCCCCTTCTAATCAACAGTAAAATATTATTCTGTATTCACTACAAATACATTCAAGAAGTGACATGAGGTGTTCTAGACTCATGTACAAAACATTTACATACAAACTGAAAATTGTTGGCTATGTTAAATCAACATAAGGCCTGGTGTTTTAGAAAGGGTGGGCCTAACCTGCCTTATACATGACATATATTACATGTACATGTACACATGGCTAAATATAAAGATAGTTCAAAGATTATATGTATATTATTATGTCATATAGAGGGCACATGGGATGTGAGGAAATGGATTCTTAAAAAGGAGGTGGTATCAGGAGTTCTAGAAAGAAATAAATGAAATGAAATGAAATGGAGTTCAACGTCCTACTGTTCTGCTCCTAACCTGAGCTAATGAAGACGGGCATACGCCATACAGTGTGCTATGAGGGGAAATTTTGCCCGGACAACGGCCTACTCTTATATCGAATTCCAACTGCCAAGGGATCTTTTATGTGCACGCCAATGTGTACACGGGACCTCGGTTTTTTGTCCCATCCGAACGACTAGACAGCTTTCCTTGTCAGCCCCTCCGTCCAGAAAGGAATAAGCATACCCTACACCATGTATGACACCTGTCATTATTACATTCTATATGATAGAGGCTATCAGAATCTGTCCAGGCTATTCTCACTAATGATATAAATTGTGTACTATATACATTGTATGTGGGTTGTGATAGAAACGCATAGAACCAATTTATTGTGAACATACATGTATCTACTTATAAACTGTTTTTCAGTCATTCAAAATGATTTGGTCAGAATAAAAATATCTCAATTAAGTCTGTTCTTTCGTTTAATTCCTGTTAAACATGTAAGGAATTATCTCCCCTGGGGCTAGCTACACAACATGGTCGGTCAATTACAATTCCACGCCAACTCATTATTCCAGCAACCGAAGACTACACCAAACTGCACACATCAATTTCCTCTAACGTCCAGTAGTGGAGTGAGTGTGTAAATTTAGCCTTCATTGTCCAGTAACTGAGTGAGTGTGTAAATTTAGCTTTCATTGTCCAGTAGTCAAGTGAATGTGTCTAAATTTAGCCTTTGTTGGCCTGTTAACTCTCCTCTATGTAAAATGGAAATGATGCCCCATAATCGCTTATCAGATGAGATTAACATTTGTACCTAATACATTGTATATTTAATATAAATAATGAGTTGTGAAGAGTTCTACCAAGGCAGCAGCATAATCCAGTCTTTATTGACAGTTCCATAATTATTAAATCCATGGCAGTAACCATGTGAACTATTTTCTACATGTTGAGTCATTTAATATTGTGTCCAGGGAAATATCACCTAAGATTTCCAAACCTAGGTATTTTTTTCTGCATCTCACAATGTAAGAATATAAAGGATGATAGACGGGTATGTACCAGAACTTTGAAATTTGTATTTTTAGCTGTCTCATGATAGTAGTGTAAATTGACAATAGGAAGCAGGAAGTACAAGTTAACAGATACAGTATATGTGCATAAAACATCTTTTAAATATAAAATTCAATTTACATGTAACATGATTGAATTACAATGTCTATCTAGGTCAACATCTCTCACTTATTATTGGAGTTGATGAAACTAAACTTTATACAAAAACGCCAAGTGAAATAAACTACATTTGCCAACTTTTATCTTAAAACAAAAAAAATAAAAATTCCTCATTAAGCCCTGTACACATAAAACAGCACAGAGTTCTCTATTAAGCCCCGAACACAGAAAACTCCCCATTATGCCTTGAATGCATGGAGTAATAGAAAACTGCCTATTAAGTCCTGAATGCATGGAGCAGTAGATTAAGTCACTAAGCTTGATTTATAGTATTTTCATTAATTACTCATGATTTATTGTCCAGCAAATAATAACCCTGAATATTGTAAAATTAGGATGAAAAAGAAACCTGTCATTATTTTATTAAATCAATCAATGTCGGCCATGATACTGTCATCATCAATAAGGTACAGTACTCAGATTTTCTTGTAACTAAAATAAAAATAAAAATACTTTTCGGCACCAACTGGACTAATGAAAACAGGGACAACACACACAAAAAACTAATACCACATGTACATATATAACCTATGGGTATTCCCAATTTTGGTAATGAACTAACCATGGCACTGAAGAAAAACTAACACAACATTTATATGTACCATAACCAATATCTATTTAATATCCTACATGTATTTATTTTCATATTTAGAAATTCCAAATTATGGTACTGTACCAGAAACTAACTAACTAGGGCACTGTAGAAAAAAATTAGACAACAAACAGGCAAATGAGCCATGGGTGTTTAGTATCCTCAATCTATTTTTAGATAAATAAATTCCAAATAATGGTGATCAAAAAACTACAGTACTGCTCAAAGGTAACTTCATTCAACAAAAGAACCTACATTCTGACACATTTTTTTTGTTTCAATCCTGATAAAAATAGAAATTGATGACAACTATTTTCTTTATAGTTGACAGAACTTAGGGTGAAAACGTCTCTTCAATACTTTATAAATAAAATTTATCCATATTTTTTTAAAATCTAAAATATTTTTAGGGCTTTTTAAATTGATATCTGTGGGGTTTTGTTTTTTGTCAATTTGGGCAATACGATAAGATTGTCATTAAATGTTTTTTTCTCCAATATATAATTCAATATAAAAAAAGAAAATATCAAATAAAACCGTATCTGATCCAATAACAATATTTATAGATATAAATGTACTACATTGTATTCTCCATTGTGCCGCTACAAAACATGGCAATATACACAGCAGCCTCTAGCCTGCCTGTACATCGAGCCACGCTTCACTGATTCAACAATTGTCATCCAAACCATCTCTGGCTCTAAACATCTGCAGCGAGGACATATTAATAAATAGCTGCCATTAAACATTCAAACATCCTCTTTATAATGAAACAAATTCATTTATTGTCTCAGCTCTCCCAGTAAACACAGGAGATGGCCATATTACTGTATTCAGACACAAATAATAACTCTTCTATATCACAACATAAATTATTAAAACTGACACTTTTGTTTTGTCTTCCACTTCAGACTGAAGATTGAAAAAAAATCCCTCTAATAAATAATAAATATGAATGAATTTGAAAGATTTAAATAACGCTAAAATGAACCATGCTTTAAATTTCAAAATTATCCTATAATACGATTGTAAATTAATCTAAACATTTCCATAACCTATCTACAAACACTGACAAATGAGACTCAGTTTTCCTAGACAAGTACATGTAAGGCTTGCTATAAAAAATATTTAAAAGCAAATATTGAAAACAGTAAGCTAACCTCATTTAACAAATACGTGATAAACTTGCTAGAAACATTTGTGTATAAAAAGAAGAAAAGAGAAACCAACAATGGCATTTTATAATGAAAAACCTTCCTGTGCATAATGCATTATCAGACTTGTCAATCAACTCACAGCAATTTACATCAATGTGAATTATTCTAAAGACCTTATCCTAAACCAGTGACTTGCATTACCAGACTCACGACATGACAAATTGTTTAGTAAGCTATACAACATAAAAACAAGAATTTCTTTCTGTTTTTTGGGGTTTTTTTTAAGAAGACAGATTAAATAATTAATTGTAAATTATCTATTGTACATGTATTTCGATTCCAGATTTTTTTTGTGTTGTTTGATTAAGAATTTATTAAAAATAAATGTCACAAGTTTTTCAGATTAAATTCAGTAGCTGATTAAGAGGATAAACTGATAATCAATCTACAAAATATCAACATTGTGTCAAGAATAGCAACAATGTATTGTTTTTCTATACATGTACTACTGTAGAGTTAAGTATTTACTAGTGAATATTACTGGTATATACTATTCTATATAAAATGGCAACAATGTATTGTTTTATCTTCTACTGTAATATAGAGTCATGTATTTACCATTGATTATAACTAGATATATCATCTATAAAATGGTAACAATGTTTTAATCTAAGTTAACCTTATATGACATAGATACACAGTTAATTTTGTTACATGTAATTTTAACTGTTAACAATAATGAAAATGTGACAATAACAGTCTGGTAATAGAGCCATCAACATTTCGTCAACATCCACAATAATAATAGCAATAATCTCATCCAGCATCGATCCAAAACTCTTGTCAATTTATTGAACCAGTTTGGTCAAAACACAAAGCACGTGGATGGCTCGCGACTGACGGCTATATGTGAAATCACATGTAGCGATTAATAGAAAGGAACAGAGTTGAACTACACAATGATGAATAGATAATAATAAACAACATCCAACCTTACAGCTAGAGGCTACAACAACAGAATAAATTACATTTAATGGATGTCAGAGACAACAAAATTACAGGAGACGAGACAAAAAAAAGAAAAAAAGAAGTCGAATTTCTAAGAGTAAAAAAAAAAAAGCTTTCTCTTTACCTGCTAAACGTAAGGCAGACATTCTTTGAAATTCTGGCTCCTGCAGCCATTTCCACATTCGCCTGAAAGTTTCACGACCTGACTTCAGCTTGCTCCATGGTTTTGGATTACGCAGCAGATCGCTGAGTGTTCCCTGACTCCGACACAAGACTCTCTGTGCAAAAACTGCTTGTGGTATACTGTATCGTTTTAATTCGCTGCTAATTCTCTGAGCCAATTCTTTTGTATTTATTTCTTCTAGATCCTGTTTATCGGGCGATTCTAGGCCTGATGTCGTGGGTCTGAGATCTCTTTGAGGACTGTCACTGTGAGGTGAAGGCGTTGGTGCCGAGTGATGGATTCCGTTCATCGGTGACATCATAATATTAGGTGAATGTAATCGTGATGAATTGGAATCTAAGCGCATGGGAGATCCGACATATGAATCAAAAGAATTTGGTGAAATCATCTTGTGACAATGTTCTGATTTTACAGGAGATCCTAATCCATTCTGTCCGTAACCGTAAGAAGTGAATCCATGTTGTTGATATGATTGAAGTGTGTTCGGAGACATCATTGTCATTGGCGTAGCTCCTAATGTTGGTCCCATGTTCATACCCATGCCCATTTTATCATAACGATAAGCACTCATGTCCATCACATTTCCGATTCCATTATTCTGTGGCATAAGTGTAAAACTGCCGCTCACATTAGACGAAGGAACGTGGCTAAATTTATCTGAAACTGTAGAAATAGGAGGCAGTGGCTGTAATGGCGTAAGCGTCGCATAGCTATTGTTCGGACTGTAGTTGGGACTCATCCGTCCGTTCAATGTGTGATATGTCGCATCACCCATGTGAGAGCGAAAATCGCCACTGTCTATCATGCTGCTCACCGTAACGGGAACTGCCTCAGCTCTGGACACGGTCGGTTCAAGTTCGTCTTGTGGATTAGTATATTCCTCGTCCGCAGAGCTGACGGGCGGTACTGTCGACTCACTGATTTGTTGATCGTTGGGAATGTCTCCCATGTTTTCCATCGTCATTCCTACAATCAAAAACGATCGAACAATAAAGAATGATAAACTGTCACTTATTGTAACCTTTGGTAGAGATCTTCTGGTTGGCTCGTTCTGTTTTGGGGGCAATTACGTACGCTTAGCAATCGAAGTCTTCCCCCTTTACTCGTCCTCCATGTTTAGACAGCTGTAACCCAACGACCTGCGCACCAACCATTGCGCAGCTAGAAAACCACAACACGCGTGCGCAAATAATTTTCAGCGAGGACGTCGTTTACCTTGTATCGGAGTCGGCTAACATAGCAAAACTTGTGTTTAGTTGTCTTTCAATCAGCCTATGCCACACTTCTATCAAACTAATATTTTTGTCTCAAGAAAAAGAGTCAACTCACACGATCTCTAATAAATGGAAGTTTAGACTTTATTTCTTTTAAGTTAAGTTTCTAACTCTTTCTTTCCATCTCTTTAAAGAATCATTAATATGCATACATTTAACTAACTTATGAAAACTTTGCGTTCGAATCAAGTCTCAAATGGAATCCAATTCATCAATTAAGCGTTCAATACCCCCACAGACGGTGGACTTATAAGACGAATTGATATGGCAAATCATTTATTTAGTTTCTCCTCCGCTTGTGAAACATGTTTAAATAAACTTTATCTAAGCGCTATTTAAATATTTCATAAACTTGTGGATATTTTTGTACATCATACTTGGACTATTGTCAAAGTTGAATATGGCCACCGTAAAATGGATATATCTCATAGCTCAGAACAAATAATTCCGTCACTCATTCTAAATAAAGGTAAGAAAATATTTCAAAAATATGCATCTAAGTCTTGAGACCATATCAAACTTTTCTTATAATATTGTCCCCAAAACTTGAAACAGAAACGTTTCCGACATAACTTCCAAATATGCGCAACATCAAGTAAAACGCGAGCGGTACATCGTGTTTTACTGAAAGCGCAACGTAAAGATCATACTTATTTTATATTTAAATTATTTTTAAATAACATCAATTCCTATGTTGATTTTAGGAAATAATAACACACAATTAATATTCTTAATGGCTGGGTTAGAATAAAATTGAATAGAGGGGACGTCAGAAATAGAATTTAGGCGCGTGGAGTATTACGGTATGTGTCCGATGTAAACCATTGAAAGGTTGAAACTAGTTTTAATGAGGTATTGAAAGATACCCCGTTTCCATCTGTCGTATTCACACCATAGTCTTTGCCGCATGGCCTGTCGCGCGGTTGGAATGAGGTCGCGTACAATTGCTTTTAATGACGAAGAAAATACCCAATAGATGAGCATGCATTATTTATTATTCCACCTATCAACCCAAAACGCGTTCACGACGCTAAATAAAATATTAAAATTGAAATTCACTAATATGGGCAGGTTTTACAAATGAGTAAGAAAAAAGGAATAATTTTTAACTGTGTGATTTGAAATATTCCCTTTATATATCTCCCGGGAGTCAAACAAAAGATATGGTATAAGTTTTATTGTCCCGGGCGTGTATATCTTTTATTTACTGGGAATAAACGTTTCTGTAAAAAAAACAACAAAAAAACAACAAAAAAACAACAAAACAACCGATACAACTTTGTTATAATCTCGTGCGCGTGAAGCATTTATACAAATTTTCTTCGCAATAAATGCATATTAACCAGATTATATGTTTTATATTTTTTAGTTTAAAATATTTTTCAAAAAAATAAAAGTTTAATTGGGGGAAATATATTGGTATTTGAAATGAGTTATGTTAATTAAAAAATGTTACAAAATTAATGTTTATGCAATAGGCACTTATATAAAATGTACGAAGTTGCAATCATCATATATTTCTTTCCGTAAAGAAAAGTAAAATCGCAATTTCAAATCTACACTACTCATAAGTATTTTGCGGGTCCATAATGAGTCGATTCTTTGTTCCCAGAATACTTTTAGTTATACTTTCTACATTCAAATTATAAATTTACCCCGAAATGCGAATTTTAGGACTTCACCTCACCGATCAGGTAGCGTTCCACCGAACATATGGCAATTTACGAGTGGCACGGGTATAATAGATAAGGTGAGAAAATGAAAACGTTTGATCTCCGGCTAATTAGTTGATTTGATTTACCTGAGATCATTGTTTATCTCAACACATTTTATAGTTTGTCCGTAGATAATCGCTAGATACCCTGACCATATGCCGGAATGACACGTGTCCTCAGAAAATGACCAATTAAGAGGAATTTGGGAAACAAAATAAAAGACTTTTCATTTATTGAAATTTTAGGGAAATTTTGATTCGAAAAATAATACCGATATATTGTTTGTTTCTTTCTTTTAAAATGTAGAAACACATGATTTAAGAAAAAATATCATTTATTCAAGATTTTGAAAAAAAAAGATATATATATTATATATTTTTTTTCTGTGGAAAAAAGTTTTAATACTTTTAGCGATGCGTGTTTTTCTGAATTTAAAACAATATAATTGTGATGCGAGAAAATATATCAGTGATTTTATTTAGAATGCGAAGAAATGGCCGTTGTAGTCTTTATCAAAGATTCAATAATTTTAGCAGCAACTAAAATATAAGAAATTTGGCGATCCTAAATCGCATGTTTTTTGTCGAGTAAAGTTACTATGGCTCGTTATCCGTTGTACAAATAACTTATAGTTTCTACGTTTCATACTTTTAAACTTTTCTTTCAATAGGATCAGTTTCTCAACTTCAATTTGGACACGAAGAAACACTCGAGACGCTAATTACTGTTTGAAGTAGGCGTTTCTTTGTCTTTTCTGGCCTCATTTAATATTCATTCGGTATGCTTATTGACGTCATTAGACAGATCGATATTGCACATTAACCAACCAATCAGAGCCATCGACACAAAAAGTGGGCCGCTACAACATTACTTCAAGGTAAACAAACATCGTAGGGCGTCTTAAGACATTGGTTTGCCTTAGAGAGCGATGACAAACTCAACGCCATCATAAAACTTTCACGATACCCACACATATTACAAAATTAAGACCACATATTAAACCTTCCTTTATTTGTTTACATTTTGCATTGACAGTAGCGATCATTAGACGAAAACATGGCGACGATCAAAGCATGCTGCTCCAGAATTTTGCTGTCAAGCGGCGATTCCTTCGCAGTTATAAATTTAGGGTAATTATTTTACAAGCTATGTCATGCCCCTCTATCGATCTTTAAATAAAAACAGTTGTCAACAAACTTTGTCCCCTATTACAAACATTAAAGACCCTGGTTTGTACCTCGTGTGTTTATCGATAGGAGGCGGTCCCGGATTTATTGTCATCATTTGTAGTGAGTAATATTGATCACAATGGTCGATACAATTTATCAATGGTAAATTCATCAGGGAATCACTGGATGTGTTGGAATTCTTACTATGGTTTTACACTACTACAATCTCCAAACTGGATTGACAGTCATTATACCTGATATGGGAGAAGTTTATTTATAACAACTAAATAAAAATTCTATTTACCTCCAGTCTCCAGTCCTAGGCCTACTGACCAGACTACTCTGTCTCTGTTGTGTTTATGTCACCATAAATATTTTAAAAGAATTTTTAAGAGATTGCAGAATCTATTGACAAATTTTTCACCTATTTTTCCCAACAGGTATCCTTTAAATCTATTCTAACCCAGTGTCAGGTTTTTGACTCAATTTCCTTACGCCTACCGCCCCAGTTTGGCATGATACATTTTAATTTTTTTTTTAATAAGCATAAAAGTGACCACATGATGGGCACACATGATATACAAAATAGATGCAATAATGAGTACCAAATAGAAATAAGTAAAAATATTGTCTACAGAGAATGAAGTGAGCTTTAACGTCCACTTGACACAAACTAGGTCATTTTGGGACTAACATATAGTTCAATTTTATTTCAATAATTAGTTTGCTCGTAGGGGTCTTTAACACTGGGAAAGCCCATGAGGTTTGACAGGAATCAAAACCACGCCATTTGACTCAGTGACAGACCTTCTGATCCAGTGCGAACATGTGAATCATTCGGCCACTCAACCCTCGATTGTCTATAAGTACAACATCAAATAAAAGATTTATATTAATAATAAACGGGTTGGATTGATGGACAGGTCTCTTGTCGACTTTTACATACAGACAATGAAAATAAAAGTGAATCAAGAATAAAGATGATGAAACAAAATTTAAAACGGAACCCTTATGAAAACAGTGAACTAAATAGATACATAATGAAACTGATGCTTTTTATCTTTAGTCCCGTGAACATGCAATGACATAGTTAGGAGTGGTGAATACAGTAATTTGGCAAGCATTGTTAATCTGAAAAGCAAACCAGTTGTGTTTTTTTTTTATCCAAAATGTTAAATTATTTATGTCTGCTATCAGTATATCAGGGGTTCGTGGGTGCAGAGCGCTCAGCCATTCTCAAGTGAACTTTTCTCATGTATCATGGAATTTGCCTGTATAAACCGTTTGGATGGGACAAAATCTTAGGTCCCATGTACACATTATCGTGCACGTAAAAGAACCCTTAGCAGTTTGAAATTGATATAAGTGTAGACAGTTGCGCCGCTCTCTGGGCAAAATATCTGTCACAGCATGTTGCATGGCTTATGCCTGGCAAAATATCTGTCACAGCACATTGCATGGCTTATGCCTATTTTTATTAACCCAGTCGGTGTAGAAAAGTAAGAAGTTAAATTTTTTCCTGTTTCAAGCATAAACCAAAGATTGAATACAGTACATTGTTTTATTGTTTAAATTTGTTCCTGTTTCAAGCATAAACCAAAGGATCATTGTTTTATTGTTATAGTTATTATACAGCCATGCCTTTAAAAAATTGTCTATTAATTTTCAGAAATGAAAAGCCGGTTCAAGTTGTTAAAATTCCTACCAAAGATGAAGTGACTGCTGATGGAGAGAGTAAATCTCTACTACACAAGTTAGTATATGAACATATGTTATTGAAACCATGGGAGTTGGGTGGTTGAGTGAAAATGAAATGGAAATGGGGTTCAACGTCGTACTGTTCTGCTCTGTCTAGCTAATGAAGAATGTGCATACGCCATACAGTGTGCTATGAGTGAAATTTTGTCCGGCCTACTCTTATATCGAATTCCAACAGCCAAGGGATCTTTTATGTGCCAATGTGTTCACAGGGCCCCAGTTATTGACCCATCTAAACGACTATACATTGTCCGTAATCGCCGACATGGTAGAACTTTATTCTCTCAACACTGGGATCAAACACAAGACCTTGAGGTTCCTTGAGCCAGTCTTAGGAGTCAAGACAATCAGATCAGGACTGCCTGCGTATGATTGAATTTTAAATCAGTGTCATTTTCGTTACAAAACGTAAGTTTTCATTTAAAAAAAAGATACAAATAAATGACACTAAGAAACTTTACTTTCGAACACATATTATTTATTTTTAAACAATATTTTTATTCAGCATATCTGAATTGGATTGAGGAACAGGCTTAGCCTATGTAAAACCTGTCTCCCTATATTAAAAAAACTATTGTTAGCTGTGCGAATTTGTCATAATGAGAAGTGTTATGGGGTGTTTTAAGTAGAATGGTGATGCCTTGCCTTGTGCTAATCAGGTTTAATTTAATTTGTGTGATAATAGCGGTTTCATAGAATTAATTAATTAATTTGTTACCCAGGTTTTGTGATTCTATTCTTGTACCCGTAAACAGCTGATTAATATCAGTGCTATTTACATGTCTGTGATTTATTTTAAGCACGGCGGTGGCCGTAAACTACAGTATATTGACGATTTACGGAGATGTAGTCAATATCCCATCAATACCTACAAGTTGTTGATATTGTTAATTTCTGGGTTAATATGTCAGTCATCCCATGGATTGATATTGGAAGTCAATTTCTCCATGTCCCTTGTGAATATACAAATCTTTATCACATTTAAATACCATGTCATTAGAACTCGATACATGCTATAGATTAGGTTGGGTATAAACAAAGGGGATGGATTGACTTTGTATTCTACTTTAACCTCATTAGTAGTGCCATGTGTCATGCACAAGGTATGGTATGCTTAGGGAGAGGGGTTTAATACAGGCTATGCCTGTTCCCCAATCTCTATTCAGATACAAACCTGAATAAAAATATTGCTTATAAAAAAAAAGGTATGCTTACATCTAAATACTATGTTATTAGAAACTCGATAAATTCTGTAGATTGGGTTGGGTATCAACAAAAAGGATGGATTGTCTTTGTGTACCCTAACTGTATTCAATATGCCTCAATTCTATTGAATACTAAAATGTTTGTCAGTTGACTTAGAGCATTTAGTTACCTGGGTTTTTTTTTTATACATTTCACCTGTGGTTACTTTTATAGTTAAATTTTACTTCAATATGCTTACATTCATATTTCTTGTAACATGTAGCAGATCATGACTCATGCTGGCATTACACAATGGTTTCTCTGGTTTATATTCCTGATTGTTTTCAAATTTGAGTGAAGTCTGTATCACTACAGACCAGGGACTGTGACTGTACAGCGCAGTGGACGCTTACTATAGCCTCCGAATCCATGCACTTAATTTGATATGTTCGTTTGTTTGTGATTTCTGAGTATTGTGTCTTGTCCGTATATTTGTTTTTCTTTAAATTATGTGTGGTTCAGTCCCCCTGCACTTACTATTAGTAGTGCCATATGTCATGCACAAGGTAAGATATGCATGCATTTAAGGGGGGTTGGATGGCCTGTATCATACAATCTGTTAATGAGTCAACTGGCAGGGTTTCGATTCCCCGGCTGTACGTGACAAGGAGTAGGGTCATCTGTCCAACCTCGTGGGTTTTCTCTGGGTCCTCCAGTTTCCTCCCACTGCTAAAGACCCCTACACGCAAGTGAATCATTGAAGTAAAATTGAACTCTATGTTAGTCCCGAAATGACCTATTTCGTGTCGAGTGGATGTTAAACTCTCTCTCTCTCTCTCTCTCTTTCTCTCTCCGCTTACATTTAAGTGCCATGTTATTAGAATTCAATACATTCTACAGATTTTTAAAAATTTGGAATAAATGAGTAGCTAAATAACAGGTAGCCATTTACAAATTAGTCAGCATCCTGAATGTCATTCACATACCTAATTTTTCACAGATTAAAGGGGCATTAGTTAAATTAGATAAAGAGCTGACAGTTCTCGCTATAATTGTTAGAAAATAGAAAATGAAAAGAGAATATGCTGAAAATTTCAGTCAAATTGCTTCACTCTGAACCAAGATATTAGTGATTCAATTTTAGACTAGCCTCGATCGTGATTACTACCGTTGGTACGATAATAAACAAAGCCTCGATTATCCATGTTTACATTAAATCACAAAACATATTCAGATCCACTAAATATCGCGAGCTAACGATGGCATCGAGAGTTGATTATGGTCTTGATAAGTTGATTAATGTCTATTCAATAATTTATATAACATTTAAGGCCTAAAGAAAGATCTGCATTAGACAGATTTAGCTCTTGAATAATGCGTGTTTAACCCATGTTAACACTAAAATGTACTGAAATTGGTTATTGAATATTTATTTAAGAAAACCAAATTATAAATAATATCAAAGGTAGATAATCTCCCGTCTTGGATTTAGTCAGATTAAAAAGAGGCCCATCAAAAGATTTCAGCGAAAATGATAGGGTGGTTGTGGTTGGTGTTGACTATATGCTATATATCGGTTGTAGAGGATGCTGGCTTGTGTTGACTAGATCCTATATATCGGTTGTACATGAAGCTGGCTTGTGTTGACTCTATCCTATGTAATGGTTGTAGAGGATGCTGGCTTGTGTTGACTATTTCCTATATATCGTGTATAGAGGATGCTGGCTTGTGTTAACCATATCGTATATATCGGTTGTAAAGGATGCTGGCTTGTGTTGATCATATCCTATATATCGGTTGTAAAGGATGCCGAATATTTATAAATTTTCAATTCATCATATCTTTGTAAATACTGAACAGAATTGAACCATTTTTCGACTGATATTCCTATTAGAGATTCAAATTTCACGATATTGTAGTTAACAAGAGACTAAATAATAATTAGCGATTTTATGTTAGACTGCGTTCAGGGACAGGGCATCGTTCTTAGAAACAACTCAAGTTGTACTTGAGAGTCATTGTAGAAACGTAGCCTTGATTAAGAATACAGTAATTGTCTTCCGGAAAACTCATGTTAATTTAATATGTTCAATTATTAAATGTCGTTCAAGCGATGAACTAAAGTCTGCTTTAGGCTTACCTTACAATCAACAAAATAACAGAGAGAGGGAGAGAAATGGGGTTTATCGTCCACTCGACACAAACTAGGTCATTCCGGGACTAACACATGGTTCAATTTTATTTCAATAATTCGATTGCACGGAGGGGTCTTTTGCAGTGGGAGGAAAGTGGAGGACCTGGAGAAAACCCATGAGGTTGGACAGGGGACCCTAATCCTTGTCACGTACAACCGGAGAATCGAGACCACGTCAGTTGACTCAGTGACAGACATGATACAGCATGTGCGTGCTAACCATTCAGCCATCCAACCCCCCTTAAAATAACAGTATGGCACACTTTATAACATATATTGAAATGTATACAAGTTACAATTCTGTGGAATACATACACTTCTTATTACTGAGCGACCTTTCGACTAGACTTCTTTAGTCTTTATTAAAGATACATTATGGGAGATAAGATAAAGAGATGGCAGTTCTCGCTATAATAGTTAAAAACTAGATAGTGTAAAGGTAATTTGCTGAAAATTTCAGTCAAATTGATCCACTATGAGCCGAGAAAGAAGCGGGTGAAATTTTTGCATAGTCTCAGTCATCATTACTAAAATCATTAATATAAACAGCATAGTCTCGATTATCCACTTTTTTTGATTTAATTATCAGTGGCCGTTATATAGGAATCTAATCCAGCCAACATCGAAGGCTAGCCTTGACATCGAGAGTTTATTATGGTCTGGATAAGTTAATTAATGTCTAATTGTTAATTTAGATAACATTTCAGGCCTAAAGAAAGACTTGTAATAAGTAGATTTTGCTTTTGCATAGTGCATGTTTAAGAAATGATAAAACATAACGAGACAAAATTTACATGTAAAAAAACTGATTATTAATGAGCAACGTTTTGACCAAGCTTCCCTATGCTTTATCAAGAGATGATAAAATATAACAAGACAATATTTACATGTAAAAAAAACAACACTTAATTAATGCTGGCCAACATCGCTCAGTAATAAGCAGTAATTGTATTCCATAGAATTGTGACCTGTATATTCCAGTTCCATTATGGTGTACTAAATGCCATTGAAACTATTTATATTGAAATTAGCACCAATAAATAAAAGATGTAAGTTTTACACGCATCATTTCCTTGTAACGACAAGAAAAAAAGAGAGAGATGTTGAGTGATTTTTACAGACAAATTAAACTCTAGGGATTTATTGAAAATACAACCCAATCCATCACAATGTGATCTCCAGTCTCAAGCTTCTCTTGTATAGTGTATTTAACAGTCGAGTGGTCTAACACATGCACTTTAGATCATATGGTCTGTCATTGAGCCAGGGGTTGAATGGTCGAATGGTTAGCACGTGCGCGCTGTATCATAAGGTCTGTTATTGAGTCAGCTGGCATGGTTTCGATTTCCCAGTTGTACGTGACAAGGAGTAGGGTCGCTTGTCCAACCTTGTGGGTTTTCTCCAGATCCTCCGGTTTCCTCCCACCGCTAAAGACCCCTATGCTCAAGCAAATTATTGAAATAAAATTGAACCATATGTTAGTCCCAAAATGACCTAGTTTGTGTTGAGCGGAGTTTATACCACATCTCTCTCTCTCTCTCTAGATTTTTAATATTTGGCTTAAGGCAACTATTTTAGTGTTATGTTGTGCACAGACGACCTTGACATCAACAGAA